CCAGGTAGTTTATTTGAACGCAAACACCCGGGCGAGATTTCCCCAGTCTACAGAAATAGAGGCTGGGGAGTTTGCGCGCTTAAGCAGACAGGCAGCGAGTTTTTAAAGAAGGCAGGGGGAGGCAGAGCTTATATTTACAGCGGTGCGAGGATTGGCTAACGTAAGGCACATTTTTCAGGTTGGGAGGGGGCAGCAGCCGGGGACTTTGACGCGTCTTCAGGGTCCAACGTGCTTGCTCCTCCCGTCACTGCTCTCAGCCTTACAGTTATAATACACTACAGTAGAGTTGATTTTAAGAAAGGGAGATTATTTTTGGTGTGCCTGACCTCATTACGCAAGGGACTGGATTCTTTCTGAAGAAACAGATTTGAAGTGTGAGAAAGATTTGACACGAGGGAGGTTCTCCATTGATGGATATAAAGATGGAGGTGGGCAACAGGGCTGGAAAGCCAACAAGAACACAAGGGCTTCAGTGCTCCAACTACAAGGAACTGAATCCTACCAACAGACACAGTGAGCTTGGAAGTGGATTCTTCTGCAGAGCCTTTAGATGAGAACTCAGCCCAACTGATCCCTTGAGTGTGAGACAGCCGAGGACCCAGCTGAGGCATGCCTGCACTTCTGACCTGCTGAACTGGAGCCTGTGCATAACAATAACAGTGCATTGTTTTAAGCCTCTAAATTTGTGGTAATTTGTTATGAGGCTAACAAATAATAGAAAACTAATAAGCCGATACAATGGCATTCAAGTTGATAATGAGTTAGAATTTTCCCCCTATCTTCTCTTTCCCTGCCTTTCTCCAAAGCTTTGATCTGTTTCACCACCATGTAGTTATTTCATTGATTATAACCAGAAAATGCCATTTTGTCAGAGTAAAATCTTCTCTCGTATCACATATCAGGATTATCTTTTTCTCCCCTCATAGTTAATTTGAGATGCAGAGATGTATGCATCTTTGTTATATTATATACAAATTTAGAGCTGGAGGATCAAACCAGAAAACACAGATTTTGAGAATTAAAGCAAACAATCTGCGTATTTTGAAGTAACTCAGATGTTTCATTCATTGCATCTAGTTATCTTGCAACACAGTAAACTTGACATAACAGTTGAAGGAAAAAGAGTAGCAATGTGAACATAAATGCCTCACTATTAATACTTTTTTAATCAATAAACATTAGTAGAATGCCATGCATTTGAATCCATGCTTTTCCTGAGGAAAACCTGCATTCTATCACCAGCTTCCTGATATTGCAGCTGGATTCTATTACAAGAGTAGGACTTACCATGGGAAGCATGCCTAAACTTTCTAAGATATAAAATGAAAGTTAATCTCATTAATTAGATGTCTAGATTACACAGATTGACCACTGTGTTATTACATGTAGCATGGTGAAAAAAACAATTATATGGTTTGTTGATAGCTCTACCTGGATAATTTAGCTAAGCCTTATTTACTAAGATATTCTATTAACCACAAAGGCAGGATTTGGTGTCCGTCAAAAATCACATCAAACTGTGACTTTGCGGTTGATGGCTGAGAGAATGTTCTACAACAAAGGGAACTAAGAATGCAGTATGATGTATTTTTAACATTTAATTCAGGAAAAATTTCATCTCTAGGACAGCTTAACAGTGCTACGACTATGTAATGCAGGTAAATGCAAACACTACTAAGACAATGAATCTATGACTCACCATAGATTTAAAACCCATGTTCTCTGCCTTTATGAAAACCATGGAATTGGATTAAGAGAGAAGGCACCTAATTTTAGATTTAAGCAAACGTGGACAATGGATTCTAGAATGAAGGATAAATCTGAGGCTCTCACACCATCACCTGCATAATAATTAGCTGTTTTAATAAAAAAGAAGAACACAGAAAAAAATACTCAAAATGCCATAACATGGTAAAACCTCAAAATCTGGAGATCCTGGTAAATCATCACCTAGCTTTCATCAACTTTAACCAAAGTCTTCCCAGGTACTAAAGTCAGCAATAAAGAAAAGCCATTATGAAACTATTATGTTAAGTAATTATAATCTTTGCTTCAACTTCTTCTACCTGTGTCTTTGCCATCTATATAATTATGTTGAGAGAAAACACTTCAAGCTCAAATGAAATAAATGACTTCAGTTTATGCCCACACGGACCTTGTCAAGCCGCCAATGACTTGCCCTTTCATTGTGAGTGACTAATATCAACGCTGGCTCTAAAGAAAGACACTTTTCATAATCGCCCAACAATCTGCTAAGTGAAAACATATGGATAGGCTTAGGCAAAGCCTGCCAGGGGTCTTTGCTGAATGGAAAACAGGTGCTCTCATTCTGTGCCCCATAATACCCCATTTACCCCCAAGTCCAAAGGTTATAGGACTAATAGCTGCCTTGCGGTAATCAGGGAAAGCCAAAAAACTAGCCCTGGTGAAACATCTGGGACATATTTTACATACTTGCAACATATGCTTCAGGTTCAATTAAAGTGAGGCTTTGGCACATTTATTAATCTTTTTTACTTTTATCCTATAAGAGGACCCACTGACCTGACCCTACTATTATTCCATATGAGAAAACAGAGAAATAATGAGAGCTAGAGGTCAGTACCTGCTCGTATGGCAAAGAAACACATTTGTTTTCTCATGAAATTCCACTATGCATAACTCTATACACAAACTTTAAATAGAGGAACCAATGAATTTTTTAAAGTAGGAAATTACCCTTTTCCCACTCAGACACACAGATAGCCAAGACTTACAACATTTACTGCTATGAGAGCCATTTGAGAGATGAAGCTGGTAAATGCAAACTTGAAGGATCCTTTCATATTTCTATTCGTTATACAAAAACTTTATATTTCAAGATGTCCACTCTAAGATTCATCCCCCCATTATGCAAGCCCCTGAAAGTCTACTGTGAATTATTACACTTGAGATTTGCTTTTTGTTCAGATATGATTTTTATGCTATCAATTGTAGTATGAATAAAAAGAAAAACCTCCCTACATATCACTCAAATAAAGGGTTGGATTTATGAAAATCAACTCACAATCCTTTCATATGGAAAACACACCATTTGTCGGCATCCTGTACAGAAGAATACAGCTGAATTCACACAGTAATTTAAGCACCCACTTTCAATCAACTTTGGTAACTAGATCTGAAAATGTGTTAGAATCAGGGTGTCAATTTCAGATACCCAAACATTAGATTACAATAGATGCCACTCCAGAGATTTGGGATTGTTTCCACCCTGGCATGTTCCACTTGGCATCAATGTTTTGGTGAGCTGGTTAACCAGCTGTGTTATCTGTTTCCCACTCCTAATATCCTCTCTATTAAAAAGTGGCCATAAAGAGGGAGATTAGTGGCATAGAATATCAACAAACCTGCCTAAAAAAATACAGATTGACTTCAAGCAGGGACACTGAAGTACTAGTTCACTAAAGGTTTCCATTTATTAACATTTCCGGGGAAACGCCTGCTGCTGGAATGGCTCTTTATGGTGGCTTTAATAATAAAGCAGCAACAAGCAAGGGAAAATGGCCATAAATGGATGGCCGCTCCATGTTTATCAGCAGAGAAATGATGATTCAGAGCTGGCATGTTGAGTTAAAATACAAGCTCTCTCCAGCTCTACAACTGACCTTAACAATAAATCATATCCTTTATTGCCAGAAGTGTACGTTCATGTTATTTAACATTAAAAACAAGCACATATGTGTTTTTGCAGGGAGAGGATTTTGTTAGTTTGTGTTTGATGATGTCGCTAATGACCAAATGATACACAGAAGAAAAATTTCACATAAAAGCTCTATCAGCTTAAAAATGTTTGAAATAGCTTTAGAAGGGAGAAAAACGTGTGTGTGTTATGTATTTGTTTATGTTCCCATTTTCCTTCTAGCATTGAATATTAGGAAAAAAATCATTTGGGAGGTTAACTAATCATTGTGATTTTTTTTTTTCATTTCCAATGCTTCCTTCCAGCACACAATTTCTTATACTGGCATGTAAGTGTACATCTCTACTGGAATCAAAGGTCAAGGGCATAAATTGAGATACACTATTTTTCTTCTTTCTTCAAAAAATTTCACTGCTTTAACTATCACAGAAGTCAGAAAGATGCCAGTGAAGGTCAAAATCTGGTTTCATATACTGAACAATGTGGAAATAATGAATGATAATCTCCCTCCCTCCCATCTCACCCTAGCACTTTTTAGATTTCAGATACAGAAATGCCCAAGGATGATGATAAACCAGAATCGCCATCCTCTTGTCGTAGAAAGCCATTCTTCTGACCCCAGCCACTGCTGCAGTAGTACAAGGCTATTCTAATTCCTCCCTCCAGTTGTCCCCTCTCCCCGGGGAACAACCAATCCAAGCAGCCCCAGAAACTATTATTTATTGTGGTCACCATCCCCAAGCCAACCAGCAATCAAAAAATGAGCCTCTCGAACAGGCTTTCCTGACCAAGGAGCCAGAGGGCCGTTCCAAGTCAAGCCTAAGCAAGGGCACCGAGCACTGGGACTAGTTAAACACCCTCCAGGGCCCTCTGCACACTTGTGTTCTTTTGCTGAGCAATTCTTTGAAAATTACAGTTGACAATATCCACGTTCAACACACACAGGCTGCTGTTTTTCCACTTCTCTCCTCCCCTAAAGTGCAGCCCAATTTGTAAAACCGAAGATAGGACAAATTTTTGCCCTTCAAAACCAGTTGTCATTGCCATTATCTTCATGAGAGCTATCAAGTTCCAGACAAGCTGAATTATTTTATTTTGTTCTTGGCAGAAAAATATTTGACCCAGCTCTGGACAAAAGCGAGGAGGATTTATAGCCCTCTCTCCCTCTTTGCAACATGCAGTGGCATTGTTAGGATGATAAACAGCACTGTCCAATTTTCTGGACTCCAACACTTCAACTCCTTTTTTAACTGTCTGTGGAAACAGTGTCATGTCTACATTTCCCCATCCCCAGGTCCCAAGTGCTGGGAAAGATAATTACCTTGTCATCTCTGTCATCTTCTTCTTCCTCGTCCTCTAGCATGTCCTCCACTACCTGCAGACAGAAACACAAGTCATTTTCGTGCTCTTAAAGGAGTGAGTTTTGTTCTGTCATTTTGAACCTTTTGGAAGTGAAAACTTTGTTAACACTTTGAAACAGAGATGCACTGAGAGGGAACATTTCATCTACAGATAGGGATTAGGAAAATTCTATGCCTTTAATTGATTAAAACAAGGGAACTGAATCCAAGGGAACTCTATTTGTGTGAAATGCTCTGTGACAACATAAATAATTTAAAATATGCATAAGGTAAACTAACACTAATTTGAGGGATGCTTTAAATCCAAAAAATTTCCTTTCTACCTACTCTGCTGTTTGTATTAATCAGACACTTTAAATTTGGAGATAGATAGCTAAGCAGAAAACAACTCTGCTATTTCTAATTTACTTTTCACCAAACTTTAAGGTAAAGTACTATGTCTGTTCATTGATTCGTGCAAGTGGTCTATGACATAAAACTAACAATATCTTTCACGACTCAATTTTTATTTAAATTTTTATTGAATAAATTTGACACATAACATTGTGTAGGTGTTAACTTTAAGGTGTACCACATATTACTTTGATATATTTATATATTGATGTAGTGATATTTATCACATTGCATAATCATAGTATGATATTGTCTACATTCATCATAGTGTGTGTGCATTTGATCTCTGTGGTTTATTTACAACTTGTTACAAATTTGTACCCTTAAACACCACCACTCTTATCCCTCCCCTACCTTCATCCCCTAGTAACCATTTTACTCTTATTTTTATAGGCTTAAATTTTTAAAATCCATATAAGTAATATCATACAGTACTTGTCTTTCTCTATCTCACTTGTCTTGCTTAGCATAAAGAGCTCAAAGGCCATCCATGTTACTGCAAATAGCCTTCTTTTCTCATGGCTGAATAATATTCCATGGTGTATGCATGCCACATCTTTCTTACCCACTCATCTGTTGAAGGCATTGCTGTTTCCATCTCTAGCTATGATAAACATGGGAGTGTAGATATCTCATTGACACTTTGTTTTCATTTCCTTTGGTTATATATCCAGAAGTAGAATTCCTGGATCACATGGTAGATCTATTTTTAATTTTTGAGGAACCTCCATATTGTTTTCTATAATGGTTGGGCCAATTTACTTTCCCCAAAACAATGATTAAGCATTCCCTTTTCTCCACCTCCTTGCCAGCACCTGTTATCTTTTGTCTTCTTGATGATAGCCATTCTGACTGGTGTGAGGTGAAATCTCATTGTGGTTTTGATTTGCATATCCCTGATGTTGAGCATCTTTTCAAGTGTCTGTTGGCCCTCTGATGTCTTTTTAGATATCAAATTGGAGAAAAGTCTATTTAGTTCTTCTGCCCATGAGATTGTTCCTAATTTAATATTATATTTTAAATCTTCTGTTATATGGTAGAATTTTGTGGTCTTTCATTTGGACATTCAGCATTTTGAAAAGAACGAAAGTAGCACAATGTGCTGTTTCCTATAGCTGGTGAGAGTTTACACTTATTTTAGGGACATATAAGCAATTCAGCCCCAGCCAGAAAAAGGGACTATTAACATTCTAACTATATTCAGTGCCCATAAGCATTTATTATAAACCCCTTTGTTCAGGAACACAGTGCTAGGTACCGTGGGAATATGAAAATGAATGACACCCAGATACTTCATCTATACTCATGTCAACCCTTATGAGGCATATAAATCTGCAGAATTTAAATGGAGACTATCAGATAACCTCTCATGTTGACTTTTCATTTCCTGAAACTTTGAAGTATTCACATAGTAAGTATACAGAGAACAATTGTAACAATGTATAATTGAGGTGCTATATATGCCAGCTCTTCTAATTTGGTCTATTTATAATGGAGGTTTAAACAGGAAAAGGAGCCACAATATTTCAGTACATGTGTTGCATTAAAAGAATTTAACACACCAAGAGGCTGAACTAGAACTTAAACCCAGAGTGTTGGATAGCAGAGGATACTTTCAACCCCTGCCTAGTTCCAAAAAAAAATCCACCTAACCCCTTCCCAGATTTTAAAAAATTATTATAATTTTGTATCTCTAATAAAATGATAATCTAAATCAAATTTAAGGCAATGTTTTAAGGGTGGTCATTATTATCTATATTATTTTTTAAATTATATATATTTGAGTTGTATAATAGGATGATCTGATATATATTAGATTAAGTAAATTTTTGCTAAAGTTACCCATGCACAGTCATTTATCAAATATGTGAAGGAAAATGAAATGAATATTATACTTTCATTCCTATGCATAAATTCAAACACTATTTTAGCTAGTTATTATTAAGAATGTATTATATGCCTCCCTCTTCAGTACTTGCTATTATACTGCAGGTGGTAGGAAGGCAGAATAGTGTCAGATTGGTGCCTAGCAGATAGCATGGTACATAATAGGTACTTAAGAAGTATCTGTTGACATAGTGAATAGATGAATGCATCATTTATTCTTCATATCTTTAAAAGCACTTTTTGGTAAAGTTGACTATCATTTATTTCACAGAACTGAACCAGCTCAACTGGAAAGATTTATACCTAACCAATGATAGATTAATAAAAGCAAATATTCAACATGCTTCCAAATGTTTGCCTAGAATCTACCTCTAGGCATGAAACCAAAGATACTGAACCTTTATTTTACAATTTGGATATATCCACTATTTTCAAGGTAATTTTCAAAAAATTCAAAATATTTTATTGAGCCATAAGACAAACCAGTAGCTTCATTTACACATTTCACAAATCAGCAGCACATCTTATGTTCAAGAATGACTTCAAAGAGGTCTACGGAATCAGGCTCTTCATTTGCAAAACCCAAACTGTTCTTACCCTGCACAAGTGGGTAATTGGCTACGCGCAATTACTCCACAAATGTGCAGCCAGAACCACCCAATACAACCATTTGCTTTTACATTTGGCAGAAAAGTGTTGTGTTAGTGAGAGGCCTATTGTGCTGTGCTTTAGCGCTCTGGTGAGGGCTTTTCCCTCCTCCAGTGCCTTTTTAATGTTACATCATAAACATCAGCAAGTGAGGATTTATGATACAGATGGCTTCCTACTGATGCCTTTAAGCTGCATCAGAATGTATCCCCTATTACATTTTGCTCAGGTGAACCTTGAGGTGGCTTGGAAATTGGAGAGAATAGCACCTATCCCATAGTGTTGATTAAGGATCCAATGAGATAATGCACTTGAAGTGCTTAGCATACTTCCTGTACTGAACCACGTACTCAAATTTTAACCATTCATAACAATAACTTCAATTTAATATTTGAAACATTAATTTTTGGAAATTAAGTCACATACTCTTTTCCTGGGCAAAATAGTGTTCTTGATGACGCACGAAATTCCAATGGATGATTCACTGACACTAATAAACACACAAAGGGGCACAGGTAGAGGGGTGGATAAAGAGCCCCAATTAAAATGATAATGCTTCCCCAACTAATTGTCAGGCTTTCACAGTCCAATGAGAAGGATAGCTTTGAAGGCAAGAGCGTCTCAGAAGCTGGGCTGGGCTTTAAGGCACGAGCCCTGGACAAATGCAGTGAGGAAAGGAACCGAGCTTTGAAAAACAAACTGTATGTGTCACTGAAGTGCATTTAATGACCGCACAAAATTGCAACCCTTCCCAGAGAACTCAAATCACACCTACTATTTAGAAAGAGTGCTGGAGTTTAACACCTAAAGAAGGAAAACAAATAAGACAAAGGAGTCCTCGTCTCAAATTCCAGAGCTTTCCTCTTCAAATTAAACCAAATAAGGACTACATGGTTTTGTTTTCCAGTGTGTGAAGTCCAGTTGCTCAAACATTTGTTAGCAGTAATTTACTAACAACACTTCTATAGGATTTCCTTAAGGAAAAAAATGAAGAGTGAGGAAAAAAAATGCATGTGTTAGAGAAGACACATTTTAACCAAGTTGTTTTTCTTTTTTCTTGAGGGGGAATATCTCAGATCAGCTCTCAAATTCTCTTTCCAAATTATGCTTTCTGATACCTTGCTTGAAAGCAAGTAGTATTAATCAAACAAAGGAAGGGCACTAGGGAAATCAGAAAGATGTAATGCAAGCAGTTAAAAGTGACATGACCTTCTGTAATGTCGCTCGTCACAGACTTATATGCCACACACTGGAGGAAGGTCTTGAAAGAAACTGATTCTTGGTACTATTCCTTGAATGTAATACTAATAAAGATGACATTTAAAAAAACACACATAGACAGCCCCAAATATAGCATGCCAGCTTCATTACCGCCAAAGAATAAGCAGGTAACATTATTTTTAAAAGCATAATATTTCTTCTTTTATATTCCATATTTGCTGAACAATTGTCATTAACACATAAACTATGTGGCTGTACCTTTTAAAAATCCACTTTCAAAATGGAGCAAAACTGCTTCTGGAGAATCTCTATATAGTATATAGCTGTATAAGAGCTCTTTTAATATTCTGATTTTATTTAAAAATTATTTAAAAATTATAATTCAGTTCAACTAAATGCTCTATGACTTGCAAGGAAACAAAATTTTATTTGGCTGAAAATGTTAATAATGCTGTTGGCAAATCTGGATAAAAACATGACATATTTGGAATTATTCCACCAGACAAAGATGTGTAAGGGAGGGGGCCAGAAAAAATCAGGAAAAGAAGATCAAGGCAGTGAATGGATGAGTAAAAGTAGATTCAGGTAAACTTCACTTTTAAGGTTGTCATGGGACAGTGGATAGGAATTACCACTTTTAATGTCAGTTTGGGGTGTACGTTCTAAAACTAAAGTGTCAAGGGGGTTAAAATTCCATGGATAATTCTTTAAAGCACTTAGCATTATGATTGTTCCAAGGATAAAGTCCTCCACTTATTTATAGCTCTTTAAACAAAAGGAACAAAATGAATCTTGGTTATGTTAGGCTTGTAAAATGAGTACTGAGGACCACAAAGCCAAAAAACCTAGAAAGCCAAAGCTGACA